GTCATGTTATCTTCCTGTTACAGATTTTGTACCTTTTCCTTTTAATTACTTGCTCTGTTTCGTGACTCCTTTCTGTTGTTCTTGATTGAAGCTGTGATCACTTCTGTCTCTTTCTAGAATATCTGTCTATTTGTAGATTGATTTGGTCATGAATTTCTTCAGTTCTTTGTCATGGAAGGATCTTATTTCGCCATTGAATTTGGTAGATGGTTTTACAGGATACATCAATCTGGGTCAGAAATTTTCTTCTTTCAGGACCTGAAATACTTCAATCTAGGCTCTTAACTAGGTGGTTTGTGTTGAGAAATCTGTTGTGATTCTGATGGACTTTCCATTGTGATCTGTTTCTTTTCTCTAGCAGGTTTTAATATTCTTTTGCTGAATTTCTGAGATCTTGATTATTATGTGTCTAGGTGTAGATTTATTGTGATTATGGCTGTGTGGAGTTCTATATGCTGCACCTACTGTTTGTCAGTTGCTTTTCTTACGTTTGGAAAATTTTCTGCTAATACTTCTGCAAATAGTCTTTATGTCATTTGTGGTGTCTCTTGCTGCTTCATTCATATCTTATTCTTATATTATTTTTCTTTGCATGGTCTTGTAGCTGTTGAATTATTTCCTGGTTTCTTGTTAGTTTTAAGAGATATTTTATTTCATGTTTATTAGCTGCAACACTGTCTTCAAGGTGTGAAAGTCTATCTTCAGTTTTGCTTAAAAACTGGTTTTGCCAGCTTTCAATGGAATTCTTGATTTCCTGGATATATGTTTGAATCTGTTTCGTGCATTCTTATTCTTCTCTGTATTGTTCATTCATCATTTTTCTATTCTCTATTTTTCTAACTCTATTTCTTTAGTTTTACTGAGCAATTCTTTCATGATTGTTGTCCTTTCTTTTTGAACCTGAGAGATTATTTCTGATCTTATTTCTTTTGTAGTATGATGGACTTACTGTTTACTTCAGTTGCTATTATTTCAGAGATTTCAGGTGTGTGATTTCCAAGTTCTTGTGTGTCTTGGTCTCTTGGATTTGTTCTAGGTGGGCTAGAGGATTGAGATTGCCTTTGGCTCCTGTATTCTGGCATTGTTTTGAGCTCCCAGTAATCACCCAGAATCCCCAGGCCACCCTAAAATTCTTAAATGGCTCCAGGAAAGTTCCATGCCTGCTTGCACTGGGCCCACAAATTGTAGCTGTCCTGTATCCCACAGGCCACTCAGAGTCCTTCTAAGTTCTTTAAAGTTTGAACTGGAACCAGCAGAAGCTCCATACATGTATACTGGGGACTGTTTCTCATGATGCTGCAAGATGTAGTTCCATGGTCTATTTTCCTTGCTGCCACCACCACCCTGCTTGTTGGAAGATGTTTTTTTAAATTTTTATTTCTTCTTTCATTTATGTATTTTGGTACAGGGTATCACTATGCAGCTCGGACTCGTAGTGATCCTCCTGTGTTCAGCCTTCCCAGTGCTGGGATTACGGGTGTGCACACCACGCCTGGACTGGCTCAGCACACCCCAGGGGCAGGGCTGGGGCTGACACAACATGCAAGACCTGGGATCAAACCCTGGTCTCTGCGCTTGCCAAAGCAGGTGCTTAGTCTACTGACCTATCTTACCAGCCCTTGTTGGAAGATTTTTAACTGACTTTAGTTTCTGTTTACATAAAAACTAGTTAGAGTATCCATTTCTTTCTTTTTTTTTTTCCCTTTTTGGCGGTACCAGGGATCGAACTCAGGACCTTGCACTTACGAGGGAGGTGCTTACACCACTGAGCTATATCCCTGGCCCCTAGGGTATCCATTTCTTCTCGAGTGAATATTATAGTTTCTTTTAAGAAATGTGTTTTCTCTTAAATTGAATTGATGGGCTTAATTTATAATATCTTTTGATCCTTGGCTGGTAGTAGGATTTTTATTTGATGCCCTTCTTTGTTTTTAGCATTGGTAACATTCCCTTGACTTTTTTAGAGCGAGATTGATCAGTTTTTTTCTAATGACTACCATTTTGTTTCATACATTTTTCTGTTTTTAATTCATGTATTTCTGCTCTTTTATGATTTGTCCCTTACTTTCTGTTCTACTTGCAATTTTAAAAAGTTCTCAGCATGTAAACTTCTATAGTGAATAGAATTGTTTTCTGCGTAAACATTTATTGCTACTTTTCTTTAAGCATTGCTTTGTATGAATTTTCCAAGTTAAAAAAATCTATACATTTTTTTCATTTTCTTTCATTTCAGAATCCTTTATAATTTCCTATGTGACTTAGTCTTTGATCTGTAGGTTTCTTAGACTTCTTAAAAATTTTTCAAATATTTGGAAGGTTTTTCAAGTATCGTCACATGATTTCTACTTTAACTTTGCAATGGTCAGAAAACATCCTTTATACAATTAGAACTTTTATTTATTTATTTTTTGCTTAACTCTAGGATTCAAATGAACAAAATAACAAAATTTAAAATAATGCTATCATTTATTGGATCCTCAACAAAAGAAAAAAACCCTAATGATTGATATCTTCTGCATTAACTTTTACAGTTTAGGTGATAAGATTGTCTTGATTACTGAAACTTTGGCCTCAATTTTTTTATTTTTATGGTATTAGGGATCAAATGCAGGACCTTGTACATGCTAAGTAGGTGCTTATGCCACTAAGCTACATCCCTGGCCCTGGTGTCTGAAGTTTGAGCTGGAAGTATATGACAGACTTACCTCACTCTGCCCATTACCTTGCTCCATGCCTCTGGGGAGAGAGTTCTGTGGTTTTTCTTTTCCTGTAAGCATGTTGGATCTTCCTGTGATCGTTACCTCAGGTCAGGAGGCGAAAAGATCTGGAAAGGCTTTTGTGCCTGTGTTAGAGAAACCACCACCCTTATCCTGGAGGAACCTGTTCTCCAATCTCCCACTATCACCACTTTTCCTCAGAAGCACCTCATGAAGATTTGTGAAGTGTCTGAGAATGCGTACAAGTTTACCCTGTATGTCTTTAGCTCTCAGGCATCCTATGTTCTCAAGTTCCTCTTATCTTTCAACTTTTAGCAAATTGTAGCTTACTTTTACCTACTTACTTTATTTCTTTCTTTCTTTCTTTCTTTCTTTCTTTCTTTCTTTCTTTCTTAGTGTTTTAGGGAAAGGTCTACAGGGTGTTCAGGGTCTGCAGGGTGTTCAGGGTCTCACTGGTAGATCGGACTTGTAGTGATCTGCCTGTTTACAGCCTCCCAAGAGCTGGGATTACAGACGCACGCCACCACACCATGTCTCAATTGCTGTCTTAGTGCACCCTGGGGGTGGGGATGGCCTGACAGGCCCGGGGATTGAACCCCCAGCCCCTGTACCTGCTTGCAGGTGCTCTAATCTGCTGAGCTATTTGGCAAGTCCTTATTACTTTATTTCTATCACCTATGCTCTTCATAATGAGTCATTCTTCAGGTCTTCTCATTGTAAATACCTTTTTTGGCTCACTAGAATTCTGTATGATTTAGCTCTGATGTATTTGCAAGAATTTACAATTTTGTAGAGTAAGTTGTTAGATTAAGCAGTACCCCTGCCAACTTTCTACAGAAGTAGAACCAAATATGCTTTTGACCAGAAAGTAACTATATATATATATATATATATATATATATATATATATATATATATCAAGCATATGCTTACTGTAATAAGCAAAAATAATAAGCAGTACTATGCTAATAAGCTAGAATTGTAGAAAGAATTGTTTGTGAACCAGAATACTACTGTATATGTTATTTCTTGTGTTTATTTTTCTATACTTCAAATTGTTTTATTTCGTGTAATATAGGAATCATATTATATTAGATCTTATGGAAGGGTAGGAGGAGGTTAAAATACATACAAACTAAGTACAATTCTTCAGCATAATAAGGGTTTAGAATCTGTACAGACTTTCAAAAAACTATGAATGTTTATACAGTGGATTGTTTAGCATTGTTTTTCTTTCAAATGCCTGATGAGCTTAGGTATTTAAAAGGAAAATAGAAAAGAGTTAGATGTAGTCTGTCTTCTAGAGGATTATAGTATATATCATCACATTTAGAAAAATACACGTAACTTACTAAATGAAATTCAAGTTGTATTGATTTGGAACTTGTTTTCTTCCCTTTGGTATATCACAAATGTTATTAAATCTATAATAAAATTTTAATGGCTTTCAACATTTCACTGTTTAAATTTGTTAGGTCTCTAATGAATATCATGTAGCTTGCATTTTATTTCTTTATCATGTAAAAGACTTGGTCAGTAATTTCACATTTCTAGTTGTAGGATATGTCCTTCAAAGTGATAGGGCAGCACAAGTAGAATAATGTATAAGACTTTTGATATGTTACTGCCTGGTCACTCACTGACCTACTCTAAATAACCACCAATTACACGTAAATGTCCATTTTTTAGTGCCATTACCAGTGTTGACCATTATTGCTTGACATTGTCAAGTTGATAAGAATTTACAAAAAGAGTTCTATTTTATTACTTTAATTTGCATTTTTTAAAACTAATCACTAAAGTAGTATAGTTTTGTATTTGTCTTTCAATTAATTGCTCATTTAAAAAACCCACTTATATTTTTGTTGTTTTATAAATGTGCTTTCAAACTGGGTGTGGTACCACACACCTATAATCACAGCCCTCTGGGAGGTTTAGGTAAGTTGATCACAAGTTTGAGCCCAGTTTGGGTTACTTAGTGAGATCCTGTCTCTAAAAAAAGAGCTATGGGACATAGCTCCATGCAGACACCTAGGTTTAAAGCCCAGTAATACCACCACACACAGACACACACACACACAAAGTTATTTAAGTATTAAGGCTGTGTATAATCCTTTGTCATTGACAGAATGTTTTTCTCTGTTCTGTTTGTTTAATACGTTTGCTTATTAAGTATTGACATATAGTCTAATATTTATTAAAGTTTTTATAATCTTTTCTTTGTCCTTAAATTAAATCTTCTTTACTCTAAAATCTGAGTAAGATTTTGTTTTCAAATTTCAGATTAGTTTCAATGGAAGTGAAGGGAGGCGCAGTAGAAGTAGGAGATACTCTGGGTCTGATAGTGATTCAGTCTCAGAAGGGAAGAGGCCAAAAAAACGAGGAAGACCACGCACCATCCCTCGGGAAAATATTAAAGGATTTAGTGATGCAGAAATTAGGCGGTAAGATAATACAAAGTTTTCTTAGCCAAAATATAATATAGAAATAGATTCACTTTCATAAATTAAGATAAAGGTTTTAGAGGAAGCAAATATAGGATAATTGTATATGCATACAATTCAGGTGGTTCTGCTTTTGGGGTATATTAGTGAAAAAAATTATTTAACATATAATGTTTACATGTTATTTATTGTTAGTTAGGCCACTAATTTTTTGTTTTATTAGTATATTTCATAATTTTTCATGGCTTCTAGATAACAAAGGTATATTTTGATATATTTGTATTTATCAAATACATTATTAAAAACACTGCATTTGTGATTTCTAACAGTATTGTGGGAATAATTTCATTGTATATTTTTCCAATTTTTTAACACTGAAGATACTGCTTTTTGAAAGTATTGTTATAAAAAGACTTTCTGGGACTGGAAATATAGAAGAGTGGTAGTTTATCTCCTTAGCATGCATAAGGCCTGGATTTGCATCACCTAAAGGAAAAAAGAAACAAACGTTCCTAATGTGACTAAGTAGAAATTCAGATAGGAAATGTATGATAAATTTTAGCTTTCCCTTGAAATGTATTTCTGTTATACGCATTTTAAGGGGCATGTCATAGCAACTTACTTTGCATAATAGGTTTACATATGGAATTTGTGACAAGATTGTTGACTTATATTTTGAGTTTGTTTCAATCCATTCTATTTTTTTTATTTATTTATTTATTTATTTATTTTTTTTTGCGGAACTAGGGATTGAACTCAAGCCCTTGTGCTTGCTTGGGAAGTGCTTATTCTACCGACCTATCTCCCAGGTCCCCATTATAACTTTTAAGTCATAGACCTGATGATGCTTTTTCTCATTTTTTCAAACTGGAAAGCTAAATGTATTATTAGCTTTATTAAGGAATACTTTCATGACCATCTGATTTTCTCAGTATTCTGTCTTGAATTGAATAAGCATCTTCTGTTTTCCTGGATATTTTTTCTTCTCATCCATCAGTGCCTTAAGTAGCTTTGTTCTGAAGTAAAAATTTTATTTTTTGTTGTTGGCATAATACCACATATCTGACTTGAAACAGTTTGCTAAATTTTGTTAGCACTTGGAATATGAGGAGGTGTAATTGAATTGACAGATATTCTGTGGTAGCTTTGGAGCTTGTGAACGTAATAATTTCTAAAATAAAATTAGTTTCTATTGCTTTATTAACATTGGCATCTTCATACTGGATTTTTACATGTCTTACTTGGTATTGCTTAATGTCTTGGCAGGTTATTTATAACATAGCTAATTTGTTGTTTTGTTAGTAACAGTGCTAGAATTTTTACATTAACAGGTGTTTTCTTCTGTATTGAATTTGTTAAATGAAGAATGAAGCATGCATGTAAACCAAATATTTATTTTCTATTAGGTTTATCAAGAGCTATAAGAAATTTGGTGGCCCTCTGGAAAGGTAAATTAATCATTCTCATGAAATATTTCGCTATTAGCTTTATTTGTATTAACATTCATTTTAGCTACTTCAGTTTGCTTTTAACGGACATCAATAAAATGAATTTAGAGGAGTCAGAATAAGATCGATTTTTAAAAAAAAACACTGTTTATGCTGTTCTTCATACTATTTTCATCGCTAAAATTATCTATAAAACCTTTAGTTCTTTTTTGGTGAAGAGGAGTAGCTGGAATTGAACTCATTACCTTGTGCTTGCAAGGCAGGTGCTGTGCTGCTGAGCTATGTCCCCAAACTTTTTTTTCTGGTATCTTTTTCTTTATTGATTTATTGATTTATAAAATTGGGGCTGGGTATTAACCTAATCTTCTAATCACACCTGTTTTCCTTAACTAATGATATTTTCTTCATTTTTCTCTAATTGTATCCTTTGAGAACACAGACTGTTAAAAATCAAATTCTCAACACAGATTGTTTTCAAGTTTCAAGTTAACGTCATCAGCTCTTGGGATTTGAATATTCTTTGTTAACCAGCGGATCTTCTGAAAATAAAGCATAGTCTAAAATTAATTTTCTCTCACAAATCTTAGTTTCTTAATTCTTCAAAGAGAATCTGTTTTGACTTGTCTAAAATTAAATACTTAAATAATTTTAGATACTAGAAAACTGTCTTTAACTGTTAATCATTACATTATTTCATGTAAAGTAATTAAAACGTGGTATTTTTGTCTTTTCATTTATATGTCCCATAAATCTTTATCACTTCTTTTGAGCTTCTTAATATTTAATCAGTTATGGAAATGTTTTAAGAAGTGCTATGTAAACATCACATTTGCAGTCTACCATTTGTTTTGTAATAAATCATTTTAAGCTTACTAAGTCTTTGAATTTTTTTTTTTTTTTTTTTGGTCTTTGAATGTTAGTGAATTATTTCCCTGACAAATTCTCCTAGATTTTATATATGCTATTTCAGTTACGTAAACTAGAATTCATAGGTCATGCAGTAGAGTGATGTTTAAATCTTGAAGTACAATGAAACCCAGTTTATCTTCATTATCACTATTTCATTAACATAACATACTTACCTGAAAATTGTCTTGTTACAGATTAGATGCAATTGCTCGAGATGCTGAATTAGTTGATAAGTCAGAAACAGACCTCAGACGACTGGGAGAATTGGTGCATAATGGTTGCATTAAAGCTTTGAAGGATAGTTCTTCAGGAACAGAACGAACAGGTAATTGGAGTAATTTAAAGAGAACTAAATAAAAGTTTCAGAATGCATTTAGTGAGTTAAGTATTATATTTTAAGCTTTCAGCCTTAAAAGATACTTACAAATAAGTAATAGGAAATAGAAAACAAAATTGTGTTTTTAAAGACAATAGAATTACTTATTAAGAGTCTGTGATAGATTCTGGCTGGTATACAAGGTCAGGAATGACTCTTAGTTATACTGTCTTTTTAGTATGGACTGGTGGAAAAGAGTGTCAATATTCATGTGTGATAATGGTTTGGGGCACATTTACTTCTTTGTGTTTATTTTGCCTAAAGAAACATATTTATGTAAGATTTAGTAATCAGGTGTACTAAAAGAATTCTACTAGGACTTTTATGGCTGACAGTATTAATATCAAGATTCTGCTGAGCTGCAATTCCTGGCTTTTTTAGTAGAAGTTGGTTTTCATCAAAGGATTGAATATAATAAATTAGTGATCTCTGAGATTTTGATTTACCTTTGAAATTGTATTTTTGTTGTCATGTGTGTACTTTTCTTCAGACTGCATTAAACCTTTCATCAACTATTATTTTAAAATAAGGCAGACATGTGAACCCATGTCTGCCTAGATTATAATGACTAATGTTTATACAGTGAAGTTTCAGGTTTGTCAGCAACTTCTTTAATAATGTCATATTTTTTGTGGAATTGTGTTTTAAGTGTTTTTTTTTTTGTATGCTTTTTTCTTTGAAAAATTAAGGTGGTAGACTAGGGAAAGTAAAGGGGCCAACATTCCGAATATCAGGAGTACAAGTGAATGCCAAGCTAGTCATTTCCCATGAAGAAGAATTAATACCTTTGCATAAATCCATTCCTTCAGACCCAGAAGAAAGAAAACAGTAAGTTACTTTATAACATTTTGGTTGTATTTTAATTCAAAGTTTTTAATGACTTGTGTTTTTCAAAATTTTTCACTAGATGATCATGAACTTCACAGTAATTATTAATCTGATTGCTAGGTATACAATCCCGTGTTACACAAAACCAGCTCATTTTGATATAGACTGGGGCAAAGAAGATGATTCCAACTTATTAATTGGTATTTATGAATATGGATATGGAAGCTGGGAAATGATTAAAATGGATCCAGACCTCAGTCTAACACATAAGGTACCTATGTTTCTTGACTCTGTTGGCCATTAATTTTGGGGTTGATTTACTAGTTTTTATTTTTTAAATTATTTTGGAAATGAATTCAGGTGGTAATAAGGAAATCAAGATTCTGCTGAGCTGCATATTCCTGGCTTTTTTAGTAGAAATTGGTTTTCATCAAAGGATTGAATATAATAAATTAGTGATCTCTGAGATTTTGATTTACCTTTGAAATTGTGTTTTTGTTGTCATGTGTGTACTTTTCTTCAGATTGCATTAAACCTTTTATCAACTATTATTTTAAAATAAAAATCCTTAAAATCTTCCATAATTTCTTGAAAATGTTAGGATCTTTGATGATTGATTGTGATGTGCTAGTTAAAGTATTTTTTTCCCCATAAAATAGAAAATACAGCAAATATTTCTTAATTTTGTCTCTTACCTCTTCAAACAAATTGGAACCTTAACTATTGGTGCTTTTTTTTATTTTATTTTATTTTATTTATTTATTTATTTATTTATTTATTTATTTATTAGAGAGAGAGAGAGAGAGAGAGAGAGAGAGAGAGAGAGAGAGAGTGAGTGGTGTGTGTGTGTGGCCAGCTCAGTCCACCAGGGGGCGGGGCTGGCTGGCATGTGGTGCTGGGGGATCGAACCGCGGTCCCTGATGCTTTGCTAAGCTTGTTCTAAGTAGGTGCTTTAGACCACTGAGCCATCTCTCCAGCCCCATTATTGGTGCTTTTTCATCTCTTAAAATACAGCAAAATTTTAATAGTCTAAATTTCCACTATAAAAGTTTGCTCATGATATGTACTTTTGGTTATCTTCTAAATGGATAATACTCTGTATCCTAAAAATATTTTAAATATATTATACTTACATAAACTGTTACTGAGAAAAGGAATCGGAAAATACTCTGAATAGTTAATAACACTAGATGTTAAATATACTTTCCTGTATTTGGAATAAATCTGTAATCTCATATTCTTTTTGAGGCATACATTCTAAAGAAATTTGGATCTTGGTAGTATAGTTATAAAAAGATACTTTGTGTTGAGCTATTGTCTCCGTTACTCTTCTCTCATTGCTGGAAAAAATAACCCACACTCAAAATGAAGTAAGGAAAGGTTTATTTAATCACAGTTACTGGATGGTTCAGTCCATACTCAGCTGGCTCCAAGGCAGACTTGGACATGGCAGAGGGCAGCAGTTCATGGCAGCGGAAGGCAGCGAAACAGGGCAGGAGCAGTGGGAACAGTGGCTACAGAGAGGAAGTTGTCTCCCTTAAGTTGCATTCAGGCTGTCTGTCCCAGGCTGGGTGTAGGACTCACACCCATAATCTCAGCAGTACTCAGACCCATAATTCTAGCCTTGGATCACGAATTAATCACAAACTGTAGAACTGTGCCCCAGTGATTACATGAGGCTTTGGGGGGACAGATACACACAAGCCATAACAGCTATTCATTAAGAATTAAGTAACTTGTCAGTGAGATATATATTTCTTAAAATGGTTAAGTACTTTTTTGCCAATAAGTTTTTTAATGTTATTTATTAAAGACAACTTGAAAAATTAAAAATTTCTTTTCTAGATTCTTCCAGATGATCCTGATAAAAAGCCACAAGCAAAACAATTGCAGACACGTGCAGACTACCTCATCAAGTTACTTAGTAGAGATCTTGCAAAAAAGGAAGCTCTGAGACTTTCTGGTGCAGTAAGTTGTAATTTGAATGCCTAAGAGTAGTTTACTTTTCCAAATCAGTGACCAAGCTAGATGGACATCTATAATTAATATAGCCTAGAAGTGTTTTTTCCTATAATTTAGTAATTTAATTTGATTATGGTAATATCTTGCCTCAAACTACCTCACTATGTATTTCAAACCTAGTCCCATATTTCAGGAGTGCGATCTTGCTTTTTCTAGTGTTTGGAGACAGAAAACTTGATTACAGAGTGAGCACTTTTCAAGAAGTTAAGCCTGCATATTGTTTCATATGAAGACATTAGAGTTTAAGGAATCATGTCAAATGTCACTGAGTTTTTTTATCAGGAGATACTACATAGTGGAAAAAGATAGCAGAAGCAAGTGATTGGATATCTTCAGGAAATTTTTAAAGCTGTTAGAATTTAATTATAGCCACAGTGTCAGTATCTTCTTTTCTGACATTATAAATCATGTTTAAGGCTATTTTTGATGCCATTGACTGTAACTGGAAGTGATAATTGGAGGGAGTGGAAAAAATATGTTTCTGTTTCTATCATTCTCATTTTAAAGTACTAGTTTACAGTTGGGAAGTATTCAGTAATGACAGTATTATATTTGATTCATTATATTATGTTACCTATATTAACTAAGATTAATGTAGTTTATTACTTAGTGTGGTAGGAATATTTAACTTACCTTGTAGATTTAGTATTCAAGTTTTTTATAGTGAAACTTGTGAAGTTAATTAAAATAATTATTTTTAGGGTGGCTTAAAGAGAAGAAAAGGAAGAGTTAAGAAAAATAAAGCAATGAAGTCCATAAAAGTGAAAGAAGAGATAAAGAGTGATTCTTCTCCCCTGCCTTCAGAGAAGTCTGATGAAGATGATGAGAAGGTAAGAATGCATTTTTAGAGGAGTAACCTTTTCTGTAAAAGGAAATTGAGCATTTTTGCAATAAGATAGAGTCTTACATTTATGTACTTGATTTTCTTTCTGTTTTTGTGCTTGTGTTTCACAAGGTAGTCTCATTTATAGAACAGAATTCTGCCTATATATGTTATCTTAGAAACATAGAGAAATGGTCCTTCCTTTTCAAACATTTGCCAATTAAGCTTCTGTCTCCTTGAATTTTATTATGAAATTGAGTAGAACTGGCTTGACTTACTTAGTTTATAGGAAAGTAAACACTGCTTGTATTATAATTCTTCATCATCTTTTTCAAAATCCACATACCTGCAGTCCATAATCAGGCAAAAAAAATTTAGTTTTGTCAAAAATGCAGTTAGTAATACATTGGCTATACTTACACTTTCACTTCTGTGAATCACCCAAATGAAAAGTGTAAAACAGAAAGAGACAGAAAAACCTGAACCGGATGTTTGTATAAAGAAGGAACCAGAAGGAAACAGGGAAGCAAAAGAAAAAAATAAAAGAGAAATTTAAAAGGAAA